ACTGGCATATCTCCAAGAAGTGTAAAAATGAAGCATCCATCTTTGAGAACAATTATTTATTCTGCGCTAAGCATGACAATAAACGTGAAACAAAGGTTAGTAAGCAATGGACTGGACACATCTACAACCAATATCACTTATACGTGTCTCGCTGGTTGCATGCAGTTGCATGTATTATGTTCTCAATTCCCATTCCTTTCGAATTATTTTGTAGGTTAGCAGGAATAACAGGTATATGTTAATGTAATTTCCGGAGTTCGTAGAAAAAGCATAGTATGTAACCCGTTTATAAACTCTTCTAGACACTCGTTAATTAAACACTCGTTACTAAAAAGGCGTTACATAATATACTATTATTTATTCATTTATTCATCTATTCATTTATTTTATGTTCTGTTATTTCTCACTATATGAGTCAATGTAATTTTTTTTTTTTTTTAGAAAGTTGGGGGACTTTCGAGTGCCCTCCCACCCCCTTATATTATTTGTAACGATTATACATAGACAATAGAAATTTGGAAACTTGATATTGAAAGTTAACTTCCCTATAGTGATGATAGATGACGAAATAGTCAAAGATGACGTCACAAGGTTATTGTGACCAATAATTCTAGAGCAAGCGACACCTCTATCAAAAGGTATAGAAAAACCTATTCAATGATACTAATTTTGATTTTATTTATGGCAGTTTTGGCAACTCGCTTTTTAACAACGAAAAGCTGTGATGAATTAGATCAGTTAATACTAAAATTCAAAATTCAAGCTCCGCCTCTGGATAGTTGTCAAATAATCTGACGTTTTTGTTAGTCTCCCTAATTTGACGTTTTTGTAATGGGCGTGTACACCTTAGTAGAACTTTTAACTCATACCATGTTTATGATGATCCTTTTATACATAAATAATGATTGACGACATAATTCGATCGAAAAATTAACTGGAATGTTTTATTTTTGGACATAAATAATAGTCTTGTTTCAGTATTAGGGTTTTGACGTCACATCATCGCCTCGTTTTCAGAGGTCCGAAAAATCGGGGATTTCAATAATTTTTTATAAAACGTAGGGAGCTCACAGCAAGAAACGGTTTGCGGTAGTGAGCTAGTTTGGGTGAGTTCTATCGAATTAGGAAATAAAAATGTTTTGTGATATAAGCCCATTGTCCAAGTTTTTGAATTTGTGTAGGGGAGGAGACTTTTGAGAAGCAGATGTATAGAAACCTTTCTAGGTAGGTATATTGAATAGGTATAGGTATAGGGTAAAACTGCATGTATCATGCGATGGTTTTTTTTTAAATATTTTTGTTGGTACTCATGTATATTTGTCTGAAAATTACGAATTTGATAATGAAAATGTGAACAAACTATTATTTATTAAGATAATTCACTAAAAAGTTATAAATTTCACCTTCTTTTCCGCCTGTCTTTTGGATCGCATTTAGAACAATTTGCCCTTCTTTTTTCATCATTGGACAATTTATATGATATCCCAATGTAGGACACATTTTTTTCTATTATATGAGTCAACTAGAAAAGAAGGAAGAATATCATTTAAAATAATGGCGTGTGTAATGTCATTCAAAAGCGATCTGTTGACATTTGACATCTCGTATTTGGATTGACTATTGATTAAATGGCTGTCGTCTGATATGCTTGTTTACGAAATATGAAAAACTCGCCATAATAATCATATTTCGTGTTGAATTTTCTATATAAAAATGTGTCATTGAAGTACATCATGAGTATATAAAGTATCCAATGACAAAATAAGAAGAGCAAGTAGCTGTAAATGCATCCAACACAAAGGGAAAAAAATGCAAAATTTCGAACTTTTTCTTGAAATATCTCGATAAATAGTGGTTTGTTCATTATCAAATTCGTATTTTTCAGACAAAAATACGTAAGTACCTACCAAAAAAATGTTTCGAAAAAAAATCCATCGCATGATAAATGCAGTTTTACCAGGTATAGGTACTATTTAGTTAGAGTGTGAAGAAAAGTACCCATCACGTGATGAATACTTCTATAGATAAGTCATGGAAACCATCCATCCTTCTCAAAGTGGTCCAGATTTTTTCTTTGACTTCTATAGATGTTTATAATGAAGCAATAAAAAACACTTACCGACTTAAAAATTAACAGATGTCCACACACAAAACACCACACACAAATACAATAAATATATATACAGTATGATGCAAATGTATGGAATAAATTAATTTCAAAACAAGACGACTTTCGAAAAAAAAAACAAAAACTAGAGTTTAGACCTTTTTTTTCGACGTATTTTTTTAACTAGACGACCCTTCGATGTTCAATTCTCAGTAACAGACCTCTGCAAGATTCAATTAATCACATGATAATCCATTTTAATTTCAATCTTCTTATGCAACATTTTGACTGTTGAATAGACGATCGGTAGACATTTCAATCAAGGTGTCACATGACCCCTATTTGTATTTGAAAAAATCGTCCATTAGGTCTTTACTCCAACACCGGTGACGTAACATCTCTCATATGAATATCATGAGATGAGGCTTCAGAAATTAAAACTCACGTGTTTTTGGAATTTTTTCAAATGTCGCCCATTTCTGAAATAATGAATTTATTCCATACATTTGCATCATACTGTATATATAACCACTTAACTAAACGTTAAAATTCAATTTGTCACTTCCACTTCACTTGAATCAACCGCACTCAATGAAGTCTGAAAGAAAACTGAATTAGTTGATGCTTGATTCACCAACCCGTATGACTAATTAGTTATATCATCTATCTAACCGATTTATTCTCGAGGAAGTGTTTTATTCATGACTAAAAAAGATATCGATATACGAGAAGATGATAACAAACTTGATTTGGATAAGTACAGGGTGCTATTTATTTAAATAGAGGGTGGTCATTTTAAAACGAAACAGACGATCTGTACGTCGCCAAAACCGGATTATGAAAAAACACTGGAACACTTCAGCTCCAATTTCGGGGGAGACATCGATCTAAAATATTTTCAGCGCTGCGGGGTTGCCGCTTCTATCGAAAAGTAGCAACAACTTTGTTATTTCAAATAGAATATCCTGTATTTCATTACATTTTCAGATTCCCCCTGATTTCATGAAAATGTATCACACTTGGGGTCTAGCGGAAATTATTACAGAAATATGGTATTAGGATTTTTTGTGTCAAAACTATGTTCATTTTAGGTCAAAACGGCTCACATACAGAGAAGGGCACAAAAAACGACCAGGACTGTAACTTTTGAATTATTTTAGATAGGGTTTTAAAAATTGGTGGGCAGCTAGTATACCAAATCGCTCATTAATTGATGAAACAATTTTTTTTATCACTTCCAGTTTCACCTGAAATGACCCCAACTTTTGATTTTTAAATTTTTCCGTAATATCAAAAAATATGTATTTTTCAAATAGAATATGTATGAAATATTTGGGATTAATTGTAGATGAAAATTTGAACTGGTCTCCACACATTTCCAAAATCTCTGAAAAAATTGTTGCAATGCTATCCGCCCTGTATAAATGTCGAGATTATCTGTCCATGAAAACTAAATTTCAAGTTTATAATTCTTATTTCTTAACACACTTCAGGTATCTTATGCCTGTGTGGGGAATGTGTGGAGAAGTTAACTTCGATAAAGTTCAGAAATTACAAAACAAAACCCTTAAAATATTATTCAAGTATGATTGGCTCACTAGCACGAATATAATTTATTCAGAATTGAAATAATTCGATTAAAAGAAATTCTGGTTATAGAACAATGCAAACCTGTTCATAAAATACTCAATGATCAACAAAAAAGTAACATTGATATTGAGTTTTGCTTTGATGTACATGATTACCAAACAAGATCACATAATAACATCTACCAGATATATACAACGACAAATGTAGGTTTAAAAAATCCGATCGTAGATGCAATCAAAACATTCAATAATTTACCTCAGTTTATAAAAGACTTGAATAATTATAAGAGTTTTGTTAGGAAATTGAAAGTTTATATAAACATTACTTAACTGCCCTTTTAACACTGTATTTATTTTAAATGTTGTTAATCTCGAGGCCAGTGTTTGAAGCACTGATTGGAGATTTTTTTTACATTGGTTGAATTGTATTGTAATAAATGTTGCTTGAATAAACAATATTTCAAAAAAAAAAAACAACCCGTTTCTTTTCCTATCATAAAAATGGTCCCTTATTCGATGCCTACTCAGCACTGAATTTTTTTCTCGCCACAATGCGCCGTTGCCAAGTTATTAATTTTCCAAAAAAATTAGGGAGTGATGCAGGCTCTGAATGAAATAACTGTGATTGAGCTGTTTCTTCGAAGATCTGAATTTTGTCTGGTGGATTGACGTAAAGAATACCAAATAAGTAGCGTGTGATACACTCTGATCTTCATCGATATTTATACAGGGTGCTTCAACTATCTCTTTCATTTTCGTCCACTTCGATTCAAGTTTATGCGATTTTTTCAAATGGGACACCCTGTATATCAGTTCGTCTTCTCTTTCTACATGAAATAACCTATCTGAGGATACCAACATGTTATATGTTATTCCTAACACTTTCTTGGTTATTTGTGTTTTTCAAATTCTTAGGAAATTGCAAGAAATACCTGCCTAATATTTGAATTTCAAAACAAAAGGAAAATATTAATAACTTGGCACCAGGGCATTGTGGCGAAACAAAAATTTAGTGCTGAGTAGGCAACGGAAAGACCATTTTGATGATAAAAAATAATCGGGTTGTTCTATTCGAAAAATACATATTTTTTGTTATTACGGAAAAATACAACACCCTGTGAATCGGAAACTATTCTCAAAATGTGGCCTTCGTGGTGCCATAAAACTTTTATATTAAACTTGTTCTCATATATTACGGTATAGAAAAAAAAATTACCTGAAATATAAGGCACTGAGATCTTGATATTGAATTTTGAAACACCGTGTATAAATTGCTATTAGGTGAAGAAATGATGTTGCCAGAGTAGTTTTGTTTTTTGTATATTTATATATTACATTTTACGATATTTTGCTTGAATCCAAACTCTATACATTTTCAATAGTCTACCTCTGTTGACCTGCAATCTCCTATCAGCCCTGTTTTCTATTTCCTGGAATCCTTTTTCTTTAAATAAACTAGTTATTTCTTCTGCAAAAAAATACTGTATTAGGATATACTCGCCTACTAGCTGTCATTTCGTTTTTTAGTTAGATCAAGAATCACTTTTTTCTACTAGCGTGCGAAAAAGTTCACTTTTTCACACTCATTGTAGTGTTGTAAGAGTCACAGACAAATCAGTATAAAATCAAAATCGGACTTCATTGAAAAACATTTTAGCCTCTGCAATCAATTCGCAGAATGCTACAAATTGCACGTTGAATATTAGTATTAATAGCCAATTTCCGCGAAAACCGTAAATCTTTATCTTTGAAAATAAGTAAGGACAATGGGACAGCCTGTATATAACCGAATAGAAAATAGTGATGGGATCCATGAGTAATTCGATTTGTAATTCGGCCTATATTTGGGACCATGACGTTTATTTTGTTGATCAGTTTACTGTAAAGTCAAGATGATATTTCTTTTCATTGGAGAATGTTTGAATCAATTCATGACTTCAGAAGAAAACAGTCATTTGAATTAATTCAGGAATAAAATCACTGACCTGATACATACAAGGTGTTTTTGAAATAAGAGCACATATACAGCGCATTAATAAGTTATACAGTCTAAGGAACATTTCCATGATATCAAATTTTTTCTAATTCTTCTAATTAACGAGGAATTACATCCCAGAAATTTAACAAAACACGAGAAAAAAATCAAGTACGCCACTTTAAAACAATTAAAATGATTGAGTGATTGTGCCTACCACATGGAAATTTCAACAGAGGTGACGTCAGATTTGCTACAGTGTAGAACTTTGGGTGGAAAAAAGGGTTTAACCTCAAATTTTATTTTGATATGAAAATGTTGTTATTAGTGCCATTCGATAGTACGCGTCGAGCTTTCTCAGTGTTTGGAATATTTGCACTTATTACAATGCCACCCTGTATATGAATCAATTTGTGCCAACTATGGAAAACATTTTAAACACTTTCTTTCCAATCGGGAGGCCTTTTGAAAAATTGCACATATAGTCAATGAAACGAACATTCAGAAACTCCAAGAAAAACTCAAAAGATATTGAAAGTCAGTTGAGGCAGTTGGAAGTTATGATCAATCAAAATTTCAATTTCACGTTTCAAGTGTTGAGCAGTTTAGTATGTCTTTAAAATATTTCTGGAAGATCCATCACCCACTTATTTTCTTCGGAAAAATCTCGATCTATCCTGTATTTGGACTGGAAATCTCACCTTGTGTGAAAAAATGGACCCTAGTGCCGTCACCTCGCACATAAAAATTGTCCCCTAAACTTCTTCCTGGTTTGAATCTCAGCTGTGCCATATCATATCTACCATAATCCCTGAATAATAATAAGCCTCCTGGTTTCAAATACTTGTGGATTTGTTGAACGACATTCTGGTATCTAAAATTTAATGATAATCCTGAAAAATACTAATACAGTGCGCCCAAAAATGAAAAAAAAAACGAGACAGTTAGAGAAGGGGGAATTTATGATGGATCACCCTGAACTGTAAAAAGGAGTGTGCTGAAATTGATGGAAAGTTACTTGTACAGGGTGGGCCACCAGTAACGCCTCGGTCTCTAGAAGGCTAACCACTTATCTTCTTGGAATTCTTCCTCTCTAGGAAGTTGCATGTCAACATAGGCTACCATTCGAAATTATTTCGAAACATACAGGATGTCCCCAAGAATCACAAAACACTGAAGTTGAACTTTTTTCTATCGAACACCCTATATATTATTTCATTTTGAGATTCTCCCTGATGAGCGGATTTCAACGACCCATCCATACTTGGGGTCTAGCAGTTATAATTACTGAGATATAGGGTGTGAGAAATCGAGATTTTCCAAGTTCAAGAATTTTTTGTGTCTAAACCATTCATAATTGGTCAAAACGGCTCACATGTCCCTATCTCAAATTTTGATCAACTATCTACTGACATTTAATTGAAACAAATACAGGGTGGTGCAGAATTCAGAATCTTGATCACCCGGTATATGTCCCAATTAAATATCAGTAGATAGTTAATCAAAAGTTGAGAGAGGGACATGTGAGCCGTTTTGACCAATTATGAATGGTTTAGACACAAAAAATTCTTGAACTTGGAAAATCTCGATTTCTCACACCCTATATCTCAGTAATTATAACTGCTAGACCCCAAGTATGATGGATTGTTGAAATCAGCTCACCAGGGAGAATCTCAAAATGAAATAATATATAGGGTGTTCGATTGAAAAAAGTTCAACTTCAGTGTTTTGTGATTTTTGGGGACATCCTGTTTGTTTCAAAATAATTTCAAATGGTAGCCTATGTTGACATGCAACTTCCTAGAGAGGAAGAATTCCAAGAAGATAAGTGGTTAGCCTTCTAGAGACCGAGGCGTTACTGGTGGCCCACCCTGTATACAGGGTGAGTCATGAGGAACTGTACATACTCCTATCCCTGAGGGGAATACCTGATGTCCATCAGAAAGTGTCTTCTTCACTTCTTTTCTAATACAGTGTGACCCACTTAAGACCGGAGCACCCTCACAAAATCTATAGTTTTTGACCGATTTCTATTTTTTTCGTTTCAGCAGAAGGACTATCCTGAGATCTACGATTACACAAATTTGCATAATATGATTTCAATCTACAGGGCATACTTTGTTATTTTTTTCATGTTAAAAATTGCGAAATATCATTAGCGATGTTTTCAAAAAAATTCGACCCCACCACTGAATTCAGCATCCTTCAGTTAGGTTGAGCGCAAAATTTCATGCGTGTTTTTTCATAAAATCTTGCTGACTAGGTATTTTCGCAAGACTTATCATCCCAATTTCTTCAAAAATCGATTCATCTCATAAAAATTCGCACCATGAAAAGATTTAAAAATTTTCCCCTTTTTTTTACTCATGTGTTTATTCATAAAATCTTGTGGACTGGGTATTTTTGCCAGTCAAATCATCACAATTTCCTCAAAAATCGATCAACCTCATGAAAATACATGATGAAAAGTTTTTCAAATTTTTCCCTAGCCCCCCTGGGGGGCACTTTACTCGTGTGTTTTGTTTTTTTCATAAAATCTTGTGGACTCAAATCATCTCAATTTTCTCAAAAATCGATTTATCCTCGGATTTACAGCCCCCCTGGGGAGCACTTTACTCGTGTGTTGTTTCCGGTTTTTTAAGAAAATCTTGCGGAGTGGGTATTTTTGCAAGTCAAATCATCTCAATTTGTATTATGAAAATACATGATGAAGTTTTTGAACTTTTACCCTAGCCCCCCTGGAGAGCACTTAACTAGTGTGCTTTTTCTTAAAATCTTATGGACTATGTATTTTTGCAAGTCAAATCATCTCATGATTCTATGAAAAAAAAACAACGAGTAAAGTGCTCCCCAGGGGTCTAGAGAAAAATTTTAAAAACATTTCATCATATCTTCACATGAAATAAATAGATTTTTGAGAACATGGAGATGATTTGACTTATAAAAATACTCTGTCCACAAGATTTCATGAAAAAACACAGGAGTAAAGTGCTCCCCAAAGAAGGGGGGGCAGTGAAAAAAATCAAACACTTTTTATCATGTAGTTTGATGAGCTGAATCCAGATATGCAATAAAAACAATGATTTGTTTGCTGGAAATAGCCAGTCCCTAGCATTTCATTTCAGTCAACAAATTATACACACCCTTCACAAAATAAAATTTGAATTACCAGAAAATGATTTTGTTTTTCATGTTGAAAATTGGGAAATACTATTAGCAACTTTTTCAAGAATATTTGTCTACCACAAGATTCAGCATCCATTAATTAGATGTACCATAAAATTTCTTAAAAAAATGTTGATTAGAATAATTTGTGTTATGAATACCAAAAACCTCCATGATTTTCTATATTTGTGTTGTCAATGTTGCCACTAGTCAGGAGTTGTCTGAAATATTCTCAAAAAAAGGTACATACATATCCCAACACCTACCTCTTCACCTACCTATGTTATAAAAATTACTACCTAATGTTATTTCTTTATTGCCAATGAAAATCTTTTGATGAAAAATTTGCAATTCAACTAATTGAAAGATGCTGAATTAAATGGTGTAGTTGAATTTTCTTGGAAGAAATTGCTAGTGATACTTGAACCACTTACACAATTTCAGGTATTTGGTCCACTGTCTGGGGTACATCAAATTAAATTAATATGCATTGTCTAGATGACTGATCAAAGAATCTGTCCACACTGTACAACATCCAATATTTTTTCAAACTGAAGCCATGAATTGTATAAATATAAATCATCTTAGTACTTACTTTTCTGGACAAATTGCTGACAGCACAAAAATCAAAACAATGATGTCTATACTGTTTTCTTCAAAAGGCACTGCCCAATCTTCTGAAGTGGCATCTAAAATGAATGCTTTGCACCTCTTTTCATCATATTCTGGAGCAGCCTTCAGAATGTCAATTGCCTTCTCAGAAAAATCTGAGCCATAAACTTGAAGATTCTCATTTGTAGAGTACTGCAAAATTGGAAAAATGGTATTTCCAACACCACAACCTATTTCAAAAATTGTCTTTTTGGCTCCATCTGAGTCCTCCAGTTCTGGGAATTCTGTGAAAAGCCAGTGTCGGTCCTTGAAGAACCTGTTGGTGTGGATATCATAGAAGGCATCCCAGAATTTGTCAGCTTCTTTTTCATATTTTTCTATGTCATTTTGATTCAGTTTCACATCACTGTTTTCTTTCACTTTTTTTGATGCCTCAATTTCTTGGATTTCATCCCACTCTACGTCATCCCTGAGAATAAACGGATTCAAAAATAACTAGGAATCCTGGAAATTATCTAAAATAATGTTGTTCCTTACCAAGCATTGTGTTCAAATACATTAGCTTCCTCAGTCAAATAACGATTCCCGAATTGAGGCCTCGGGCCAGTTGGTTGAGAATCACTCATAGCTGAAAAATAGTAAGATTTAAATTATTTCAATTCGATTCGAATATGAATAAAGTTTATATAATTATAATGTGAAACAAAGTTATTTACAAATTCTTGAATCATGTGTGTCAAAATTGAGGTTATGTGACTTTGACAGCTGTTTTGTTTACCGTTTCATATGTTTGTGGGCTGTATTACATTTTTCCCGCAAGAGGGCCCAGTGTTGCCAAGCTCGCCTTTATACATCTAGCCAAATGGGGGACTTCGTTCCAAGTTTTGGTAAAATCTGATTGTAGGAGTCTACTCAGCTCCCTAATAAAACTTATTCAAAAGAAAAATAAATTTTTGTGAACCCCAGTTCGTCATGTCATGTCGTCGTCAATTCAATGACTTCTCACATTTTTGTAACATAGGTATTTGAGATTTTTTATTCATGGACAAACACTATTATTCATCATTCTAGTGTAAAGAATTTTGATCGTTGCAGTAGGAAGTAGGAATATATTTCATGCAATTAAATAATAAAGTTTCAACCGTTTCCTGAAATGAAAATAACCCAAGTGGATAAAACCATAAATTTGTGGAAACGAAGAAATCACAGTCGATATGGTAAATAGAAAGACCAACATAACTATGTAGTAATAAGCATTTCCTAGTAAAAAATAACAGTATAGGGAAGGAAAATAATTCAATAAATACTTTTTAAGATTATACAGCTCACCTTAAAGAAAAACTGGTAAAATTTTCCAATAATTGAGATGCATATCACAAATGTCGGAATACATCAATATAAAAATGACATACCTTTTTTTCAAATAATTATAGACACAGATAGTTCAAATGGTTGCTCAAATAATGAGATTATTCGAACATCACAATATTCATATTATGGGAAGTAAGGAAATACAAATGAACAACAATAATAATAAAGACCTACTAACAATATTGAAAAGGAATATTCTCAGATATATTATAAACATGAAAAAATGGATACATTTGAATAAATACATTGAGAATTCGCATTCTCTATGTGATGAAATTATTAATTCTTTCTCGGCATATTCAACAGAAAACAACTACTTTCCTGGCTATATGCCACGACGAACATTGAATTATATCAATTGAACATACACGATAGGAATTTGAGCATAAAATGAATATCGTCTGAAATTGAGAATTGACATTCTCTTCCAGAATCGGATGAATACTATGATGAATATAACGATATAAAAAATATATTACTTACCAAATTGGTATGAAAATTGGAATGTATGGGAGAAATATACTAGTATACATACTCTGTTCTTGTTGAGTCGTGAATTTATCAAAAATCATCCGTATCCACGATATTCATTTTATGCTCAAATTCCTATCGTGTATGTTCAATTGATATAATTCAATGTTCGTCGTGGCATATAGCCAGGAAAGTAGTTGTTTTCTGTTGAATATGCCGAGAAAGAATTAATAATTTCATCACATAGAGAATGCGAATTCTCAATGTATTTATTCAAATGTATCCATTTTTTCATGTTTATAATATATCTGAGAATATTCCTTTTCAATACTTTCATACCCAATCAAGGGGTTCAAACTTGAACGATGGAAACTTGTTACCTACTAACAATGTTATGTTGATTACCTTCACGACGAGTCGAGAGTAGCCCCAGTCCTGATAATTCAGAGTTTCTTGATCATTATTCGAAGTTCAAACGTGATTCGAATTTACTGATCTAGTGATTCATTAGAGGCATGTTCGTTTGTGTTTGCTCCACCTCCTCAACCTGATTTTTTTCTATGACTTACTCTGTTCACATTATGCCATGAACAGAGGCAACACAAACGAACATACCTCGTGATATACCATTTTTACATGTGACACTACACTGGTTATATTCCGAATTCAACTGTTCAATACTGTCAGTGAATCAATCCACTTACTCTGCTGAAAATCTGTGTTCGAAGAAAATTATCAAAAACACAGTGCTGTAATTCGGAACATGTTTTCATGGTTTTCATCAGCTATCAGCAGCAGTTGATCAGCTGATGAAATTCATCATTTGTTAGGTTGTTACTTTTGTAGTTTCTTGTTTATCTGGCCAATTATTTTAATAACGGGCATTTTCTGATATTCACCTATTATTACTTCATTATTGATAACACAAAACTTGATGTCTGAAAAACAACGGAAATAAATGTGACATATCTTCCTCTTCTAAGTCGGAATATAGCCACTATTGAAAGTATTTACATTTCAGTATTGACATACCGCAGATGCACCAATATGATTTTCTACCAGTCAGTGAAGTTCACAAAAACTATTTTTGCTTCTGAACAACTTTCATAAGGAAGCTGAAATCCTACAATCAGATTCCACCAAAATAAAGCAATTTGAGTTATCAAACTTCCATAATATTGCTTCTACAGTGGTAGAGGTTTTTGAGTTGGCAACTTGAGCGAGAGTATCAGGCTATAAATCAACTGGTCCGTACTGTCAGTGAATCCACTGATTCTTTCGAAAATATATGTTCTGAAATATAGAATAAAAAATACAGTGCTGTAATCCGGAACACGTTTTCATGGTTTTCACATTCAATCAGCAGCAGTTGATCAGCTGGTGAAATTTGAATATTATTCTAAGCGTCAATTATTTCTTTATAAGGCATTTTCTGATATAAAATATGATTGTAATGGTCTATAATTGATGAGACAAGACATGCACTCTAAAATAATGAGAGTTCACTGAAGCCACGCTAACTTTTGATAGAGTCAACAATTTCAGCAGAATATTGAGTCGAAATATTTGGAATGATATAGTAGGTACCTAGTATCATAGACAATTTAATTCAAGTATGAAAAATTCCATAAGCCGCGTGATTTTGTCATTATGACATAGAACAAAGTTTGCCCTAACTTTTCCAGCGACAATAACGGAACCTAACTTTTGGAAGCATGACAACCAGCCACAAACAAATGTTTGATGAATTAAATTATCTTACCGAATTACACTCTAGCTTTTTTTGTCGAAGTGAACTTGGCATTTATAATTCGAATTTTGTTGCCATCAGGTAAATCGACTCAATAAACTACCAGAAAAAATTACTCGTCCTACGGACTCTCGTGTAATTATAAGTGATATTCATACAGCAAGTATCTGTCACTTACATATTGGATAGTTATTCATAAATATTATTTCATTAAATAATGAACACTCATTGTTTTATTTTTATTTCTGGCTAATAATACATTTTGAATAAGAGCAATTCAATATAATGTAGGAGGCAATACTTCGTATACTGAATAATGTGATAGAAAAATACAAATTAATACCAGAAACGCTGTGTCAGACACAGATGAGTATCTCCATACCTTTTATAAACATTTTTCTCATTTGAAGAAAACATTTTGAATAATATTTTGATACACCACCATATCACGGAAATCGAATATTATTGAAAAATTGAATAAAGAATCCAGGTCCGTATTTTGAAAAGGAAGTTGATGATGGCTGCTCGAAGAAGAAACGACATTTTGTAGGGGAGGTAAAGCAGCTATGATGAAGTGACATTCATTTTAAAAATTCTCTTCAAATAAACCGAGTAATATAAATGAACACGATTTTGTATATTTTCCTTTCTTTTTCGGATATCTCCGGAAATAATCGAATTTTTTTTAATTTCAAAGCAGCATTTTGTTCAACATGAAATGGTGCTACTTCTCTCTGACCTAATATAATCTACTCTGTATCAGTGTATCTCTTAAGTTACCGAGATCCATGCTTGTAACACCCTGTATACTACTACTACACCTAGTCCTTTCTGTATACTCAAATTCTTTGGACTGAAGGAACGTAGCATTCAATCATAGACTAATTTCAGTAATTTCTATAATATTTTTATTTAAATATTGATGTCTACATGGTGATCGCTAGAGAATTGTTGAGATGTCTGGCAACAATGGACAATAATAAACATAACACGATCTGACGTCACGTCAGCTGTTGTCACTGTCAGATGTCATTACGTGCTGTGTCATTAAATGTCATTCCTCCTTAGAAGTGCAATGTGCATAAGTGCATAGACGACCAAATTACTATAATTTCCCAACTTTTGGTATGATAAGTGATTTAATTATTCTAAGAACACTGTTTTTTATTAGTTTACCGTGTCCGATTTACACGGTATCGAAAATAATCCACTGATATATCGATCAAAAGTCGAAATTTTATTTGTTTTTGCTCTCTTGACATCTGTCAAAACAGGAGGGCGTATTCATTCATTGCCAAGGAATTTGTGAAATTGTCGGGTTTATTTCCAAGTATAATTTCGCTGTAACTACTACAAAAATTCGAGTATTCTGAATAATTAAAGTTTAAAGTGCCTTCAGAAGAACCAGCGTGAAAGGTGTTCCTTTGGTGTACTTTAGTCATCAACCTGTTCTACTCAATTCCAACTCAGGTGAGCGAAAAAATAATTTATTGATCAAATATTATTTGTGTAGATGAACAGAACTATAGATTATTCTGCAACATCCTTTTCATATGCGTGAATATGTTTATTGTTCGATGATTCAACTTTTCAGCGTTTAATCGAGAAACATTTTATATTATCTGGAAACACATAACTAGGTGTAGGCCATGTATTTTATTTGCCACATAGGTGGTTATCCATAGTGAATAATATATGGAATGGATCGGAATGGATATTATGTACCTACCTAGTGTTTTCTGCACATTCCTTCATGTTATATAATTATTCTCATTAATTTATCTTCGAATTTATCTATGAAGGCTGCCCAGTTATAAAATACCAGAGATTATTTTCAAATTGATATAAATCGAGGTATAAATATATAAAAGGTGAGTATTTGGGTTCTCGAAATTTTACCTTTCTCAGCTTTGGGCCCTTCGGATTTTAAAACTATTTGGCAAAACAATATACTACCTAGCTCCTACAGGAGGAAATTGTGATTCTACTCTCAAAAATTACTCAAGGAATTAAAAATTCCAAAAACTAAACCGATACTAAACCATTGAATGGTAGGTAATCGAGATGTTAATCAAAACCAAAAGAATGAAATGGATTGATGGTAAATATAATAATATAATATACAAAGTGAAATGTTTATATTCAAATATCTGATTGTGAGATATCCTTCAA